ACACATATATGGTCAGTTAACGTGCAAAGGAGCCGAGGACATACAGTGGGGAAAGGACACTCTAACAGTGGTGGGAAAACTGGGCAACTATCTGCAGAAGAGTAGAGCTAGACCTCTCTATTACCCCATACACAAAAAATAACTCAGATGGATTAAAGACTTGATTATAAGGCCTGAAGCCCTAGAACTTCTAGATGAAAACACTGGCAGGAGGCTCCTTGACATCAATCTTTACAATCATTTTTGGACCTGACACCAAAAGCAAAAATAAATAGCTTCTGCACAGCAAAAGAGACCATCAGCAAGGCATATCAACAAGGCAACTGGATTACAGAAAGAACTGCAAAGGCAATCCACTGAATGGGAGAAAATACTTGCAAATAGTGTATCGGACAAGGGATTACTATCCAAAATATATAAAGATGTAACACAGTTTAACAGCACAAACCAATCCTATTTAAAAAATGAGCACAGAATCTGAACAAATGCCAGGGAAGACATACAGATGACCACCAGATGTAATGTAGAGCCCTGTGACTACAGTTCATAATACTGTACTGCACATTTGGAAGTTTCTAAGGGAGTAAATCTTAAAAGTTCTCATCACAAGAAAAAAAAATTCTGTATCTATGTATAGAGACATATGGATAGAGACTTATTGTGGTGATTACTTTGCGGTATGTACAAACGCAGAATCATTATTGAAACTAATACCATGTACTATAATTTAATAAAGCAAGAAGGAAATTAAGGAGGGTTAGAGGGAGAGAGGAAAGAAAAGGAAAAATAAAAAATTCTTCCAAAGAAAGCCACATTTCTTTTTCTCCTCTTCCTGTTCAAAGTCAAACATTTACACAACCTACATACATCCTCTACTCGAATAAGGGACTAGCCACCACACTCCCCTCTCTAGGCACTCTAAAGAAAGCCACTCCTTGAGATAAGGCGCTCTCCAGCTCATGAACACTGAGTTAGGAGTCGCCACACCTCACCAATATCTAAGAATCACACCCAACCCCCAGATTCCAAGACTCAAATCTTAATTGGATTCCAGTGGACTGTTTGAGTTCCCCAACTCCTACAGGAAAAGCGGATGATCATGAAAGGAATTCAAGGAAATTTCTGCCATTATAACCTGAAAATGATCATACAAAAACTCAGTGACTTCTTGCTTACATAAGCACCGGTCTAGTACTCCTTTCTGATCTTGGTAAAACTGTAATTTTATGTTGACGGTTTTACAGAATTTTATGCTGCACTGACAGATAGAAAGCAACTTGAAGATCACTGTCTTACTAACTGGTTTGACAAATGAGAAAACTGAGTCCTAGGTAAAGTAAATACCTGCACAAACAGCTAGGAAGTGGCAAATGACAATCCATGTTGGCTGGCCCTGGGATGAACTTTCTCTCCATTTGCAACATATATTCACTCATATTCAATAGATATTTTTTGAACACTAACCACATGCAAGACACAGAGGAACTACAAAACTGAACGCAGGCCGTCATTCCTTCAGGGAATCTAAAAAATGGTGGGTTTTAGATAGTAGTTTCACAGTCTTAATATGCAAATCATCACATGAAGTCTTTGAAATTTTAAGGGAATATCTGAAAATAATTCTCCTCATAGACCTAATACTTACCTTTGAATTTAATCTCTTCATCTTCCTTGTAGCCCTTCAACTACAGAAGGCAGATGTCATGGTAAGAGCATCAGTGATGACAGCAATGATGAAGACAAGGGCAATCACAGATGAAATATAAGCCATCTGCTATGTGCCAGTGGCTATTCTGGAACCTTCATACACTTAGCTTATCTGATCCTCCCAATATGGGCTTCCCTGCTGGCTCAGATGGTAAAGAATACGCCTGCAGTGCAGGAGACCTGGGTTCGATCCCTGGGTCAGGAAGATCCCCTGGAGAAGGGAATGGCAACCCACTCCAGTGTTCTTGCCTGGAGAATCCCATGGACAGAGGAGCCTGGCAGGCTACAGTCCACGGGGTCGCAAAGAGTAGGACACGACTGAGTGACTAACACACACAATCCTCCCAATAACCTTAGGAAGGAGGTACTATCACATCTCTATTTTATAAAAGGCCTGGGGAACAGAAGTTGATTGCCCTTGAAAGGGTGGTTGATTTGGGGCTGATGTTCAAGCATGTCTTTACTAATCCTGTCTCCCAGGCTCCTGGCCCTGGGTCCTCCCCTGACTAAATGAAAATCACCTGTTCCCCCACCCCAAACCTCAGCTCCTTCATCTTTGAAAATATGAAGTCTGTCACTTGATTTCCAGTATCTCCTCAAGATGGAACATTCTGTGATTTACTGACTTAAGGTATCTACCCAATCTCTTTCCTTTAGCAGGGGAAGAAAAATGGCTTCATACAAGTTAAGGGTAGGGATTCCCTGGTGTCTCAGTTGTAAAGAATCAACCTGCCAATGCAGGAGACACAGGTTCAATCCCTGATGCCAAGGAGCAAATAAGCCCATGCAGCAGAACTAGTGAGCGTGTGCTCAGAGTCCACCTGCCACAACTATTGAAGGCTCCGCACCCCAGAGCCTGGATTCTGCAACAAGAGACGCCCCCTCAATAAGAGGCCCCCGCACCAGAATTAGAGAAAAACTTGCACAGCAAGAAGGACCCAGCACAGCCAAAACTTAATTAATCAATTAATTATTTTATTAAAAAAAGCTAAGGATAATTTTGCCCCAAATTACAAAATGCAGACCTTCAGCTATGCAGAGGTTTGGGGGGAAGGTAGCGCACGAAGTTACAGGTTTCGCTCATATATCCTTAACTTCCAGCTAGGTTCCAGCCTCAGGTGTTTTTGAAAGCTGATCTCACCACCACGTGGCAGAATAACACACAATCATTAATGGTGTTTAAACCAGAAAAAAGGTTTTTTAAGTTTCTATTAAAGATTAGGTGTCATCCGTAAAAACAGTCAAAAACAGAGATTGAAAAAAAAAGTAGGATAGAATATATGGGCTATAGTTTGGGGGGCGGAGGTTGTTTCTGTTTGTTCTTTACACGAGAAAAGAAGCAAGGACATTCAATAGCAGATGTAATTGAATAATAGGATTTGGGAGGTTTTTCTTCTCTTTTTCCTTATTTTTTTTAATGTAAACTTAAATTACCTCCATTATTAGAAGGGAGAGCTTCCTTTATACAGAAAAGGTGCTCAATATTCTCACACTGATTTCTTTCGAGAAGAAAGAAAACACTCTCCGGAAAACATCTTGGTAACACTGCAGAAATTCCAGAAAGACAGGTTTCAAGGAGAATAGCATTATGACCCACTACAGATGGGAAAGAAAAGGCTCCTTTATTGCTTCAGGTCTAGAATCACTAAATTTCACAGGCTATTTCAGGAATGTTGGCAGGGAAAGTTGCTTTGGAGTCCAGGGACACGCAGCTTTGCAGAGCTGCTTGTTGTTCAGTCCGCTCAGTCGTATCCGACTCTTTTGCGGCCTCATGGACTGTAGCCCACCAGGCTCCTCTGTCCATGGGATTCTCCAGGCGAGAATACTGAAGTGGGCTGCCATCTCCTCCTCCAGAGGATCTTCCCGAACCAGGGATCGAACCCGATTCTCCTGCATTGGCGGGAGGATTCTTTACCGCTGAGCCACCTGGGAAGCCGTGTGTAGAGCTGGACCCAGTGGGGAAAAAAGAACAGGTGCAACAGACAAAGTGTCAGACCGTGAGAGCCAAGTGTCTCAGCACCTTGCAGAAATCCCGGTCTGGTGCAGGTTCTCCCTGAGTGCCCCGTCCCACACCACAGCCGGCCACATGGACAGGGGAACGTTCCATGAGCACGTGTATCCTTTCCTCTCCGAAGCACTGCAACACAGGGAGGTCAGGTAGCCTCTTTCATGGAATCAGCAGCTGTTAAAGCAAACCAAACCACAACCAAACTCATCTATTCTTCCATCAGGCTACAGGATAAGTACACTGTGTAGATACACATGTGTTCATACATAAACATACTATATATATGCGTGTGTGTGTGTATGGGATAGGCTACCCACTCCAGTATTCTTGGGCTTCCCTGGCGGCTCAGACGACAAAGAATCCACCTGCAATGCCAGACCTGGGTTCAATCCCTGGCTTGGGAAGGTCCCCTGCCACAGGGCATGACAAACCAGTCCAGTATTCTTGCCTAGAGAATCCCATGGACAGAGGAGCCTGGCGGGCTACAGTGCGTGGGGTTCCAAAAAGTCAGACACAGCTGAGCACATATATACATATATACACACACACACACACACACACACACACACACACACACGGCCCCCTTTACAACATGCATCAATGACACTGGCTTTAGATGGCAACAATGAAACACTTCACTCTACAGAGCTCTTGAGAACATTCTGGAAACGCGTTATTTGTCTGGTGATTCCCACAGATACTATCAAAAATCCAGAGACAGCACAACTGAAAAATCACATTCAGAGTGCTATTAATTACAGAGGAACCCCCTGCCTTTCTGGAACGAGCTTTGTTGCTACTTTGCAGCAAGTAGATAAAGACAGATCTGATAGGCAGAGAATAGGAAAACTAGAATAAGAGAAGACGGCACCTCCTTTGGGAGTCTGACAGTCTGTGGCGTCAGCACTGCATCACGCCCTCATTCGCAGCGGTGGAACCCGACCTGCCAACAGCTCCAGACTTGCCCTAGCACACACGTCACACTGGGCTTCACCAGCACCACCATCATCAACAAAGCAACAAAACAAAGCTGGCAGGAGTCTTGTGTTTGCTTGTTAATTTCAAAAGACACATTTCTGTTGATTGATAACAAAATTCAATCTGAACAGTTATTTAAAATTGGAAAATACACTGTAACTAAATAAAAAGATGCCATCACTTGTTTTTTTGTTTGTTTTTCTAAGGCATTTTTTGATTGTTTGCTTCTAAGTGCAGAGTTGACACCTACAAGTTTACCTGGCAGTAATCAAACATTTCTCATGTTAGATAAAGAAATTTAACCTACCTCTTCAAAGGTGGTGTCCTCTTTCTTCAAGGCTATAAAATAAAAGGGGAAAGGAAACAATTATTGTGAAACATCTCAAAGAGGCCAAGTATCTAAGTTCTAAGAAAAAAAAAAGTAGTATGGTGTTTCCATTTCAGAAAGTAAAACTGTACCCCAACCTGAATAACAATGTTATGATACAAATATGAAAACTGCAAATGACAGAACTGCACAGCATGCATCTTTGTGAAGCACTTTCATAAATATGTAAATGAAACTACACTCCCAACTAAGGAAAAGAAGTAGGCAAATCTTTCCTCTATTTCTCCTTTAGTAGAAAAATGTTTTAATCAAAGTATGAAGGAATCAAAAAGGAATCTTGAAGAAACTTCCCCTTAAACTTCTGTTGTTTGCTCGTCTACCATCATGCAGGGGGTGGCTGGACCTCCCAAACCAATTGTCAGAAAGATACCGACTCTGCACAGGGCCCCGAATGAGATTTTCATACTGAGAGAAGTTTATAGATATCATATATCTATATCATAGATATATATATATATATATATAATATATCATATATCATATATCTTTCATGATGATGAAAGATAAGAAGTGCAAAATAAGCACTGCAGAAACATAATTCAAAGATTTTCAACATAACTCTTCTAACAGGGTATCACCAAAGGAGACAATACATTTGGAGTGTTTCACAGAAACGAGCAAATACTTGAAATTTACTTGAAATATTCATACCCTCAGAACTGGCATTTAATTACTCTGAAGAGAAAGAGAAGTATTTCATGTTTAGCTGACAAACACCTAGGTCCTTAAATGCTACATTTATTTAGAATGTTTGAGATGAAAAAGAACGCACAAAGGAGCAAATGTAATTGAAATCATGAGTTGGAGAAACGTTTCAGATGTACACAATTGTGCATAGGGGCTTACTGGTCTATACTCTAAAGTTCTGTTCAGGCTGAATAGAGTAGAAACTAGAAAATCTTTAACACCCAGACTGGACTATTTCCTTCTTGCCACCTAAGTCTTACCAGTTCCTCCAACCTTCTGGATAAAGGGCTGGGATCTACAGGTAGAAAGAAAAGGAGGTAAGAGAAGGGGGAATTGCAGGTGTATTTTCTAAGATATAAAGAGCAGGAAGCCAGATAATCTCCCGTATACACTATTCTCAAACCCAGGACACCACAGGGGAGAATATTTTAAGACCAAGAAGTCTACCCCTTCACTGAACACTTCATTACTAAATTGACACCTTGCATTGTTTCTTTTAAACACTGAATCCCTTCCCTGAAGAGCAATTAGTGGTAACAAAAAAGACCAATTAAAGTTGTCTTTACCAAATATTTATCAGGTCACTGATGAAACTGTGACCTAAACAAGCATACAACATCTCATTATTGATTACATTCCCTGATTGTCATTAATCATTCATGTAAATACAAACCCACAACTGTCTTCGAGGATATCATGGAATAACAAGCATATTACGTTTTTCTGGATTAACAAAGGGGCATATATTAAGCCATCTAACAAAATCAGATATTCTATTCAGTCCTCTGCTCAGACCCTGCTCCCTCCACAAGTCTTTCCATGATCTCACCAAGACTAAAATGGTATCCCTCTGATGTTCTCCAACAGAAAATGATGCTAATCTTCCTGGTAGAATTTGTCGATGCTCATTCACTGGCCTGTGTTCTCTTAAAGTCTTCGAGGGACAGGAACCGCATCACTGACTCTCAACACCAGCACAGTATCCAGCACACAGGAGGTACTCAGTAATTATTTGTGGAATTAATGAGCTGTACTTCAAGGGCAAAGGAACGGGATCTTACCCTTTGAGATGCATTAAGTTTTGGCATATGAAAACCAGGTACTATTGTCTCTTATGAAAGAATCATAGATATAAATTCCATATCAGTTTTCAAAGTGAAGTCTTTTGAAACTGCATGGGGAAGGGGAGGATATGGTGCAATAGTTCAATTTTGCATGTGAATCTTTAACCCTACTTATCTCTTTTTGACAGAATGGATTTATCAAGTGACAGCTGGACTCTAAAATTACACTTACAGAACAAAATAACAAACCCCCAATTTCAACATAACCACAGCCTCTTCCTTTTTTTCCGTTATCTCACAAACTTCATCTTTTAAAGAAATGGTATACATAGGGTTCATCTCAAATATCACAGAGTATAAACTTCCTTTCTCAGGGAGATAATCCAAGTTAAGTGTGAAGAAATGCATTCAAACGAATATAAAGAAACATCAGTTCAACCTTAACCTCACATTAGGTATTACAGAAAGCCTTTCTCCTTCTAAGCAGTCATCTGAAAATAAAAGAAACGAGGAAAGAAAAGAGGAAAAGGATTTTAATATTTAAACAATCAAGTTTCCATTTGTCTCTGTTTATGCTAGTTTTTTTAAGAAGTGAGACAACTACAGTAATTCCTAATAAGTGAACACGCTAACACTATTTAGGAAAAATCCATAAATACTCACTACTGAAATCAATGGATGACTCTGAAATTCAATTACACCCATCTTACAAAAGAACCATAGCTGTGTCACTCCCTGGCAAATGTCATAAATTAGAGTGCTATGGCTTGAAAGCCAGTGTGTTTTATTAGACCTTTTATAATAGAGTAATCTCAGATCAGCTGTATTTGAAGTGGGTAGTGACAAAGTTGGCTGATCTTGCATGTGCAAGTAAATTAAACATTAGCAATGTCACTGATATATAATTAGTTATTATTAATCTTTTATAATAATGGATTATTAATCCATAATTAATGAAAATCACAGACTTTCAAAAACTGTCCTCATTTTCTGTAGATGATCACTAATTTCTCACGGCTAAACAATGATACTATACATTTTACCATATAACAAACTATACTTTTGAGTCATACTAAAAAAGCAAAATAAAGTCAGTATGTTTATTTCAAAACCCATAGTAGATTGGTTAAAGGGAATAAATATACTGAGATGAATTACTCAGCAGGAGTAAACCATTCACTCTTTGATCTCCTCAAGAAGTACCAACGAAGAAAGGAAGAAGATAGAGATAAACTCAGAAATCAGAAAGAACAATAACAGCTTCCAGTATCAATCTTCACCATGGGACAGATATTCACTAGACAGTTTCTGTGTTCTATCTGATCTAATCTTCATAACGGCCTTAAGAAAACTGACAGATGAGGACTCGAGGATTTAGGGAAATTCTGCTAGTTGGCCAAAGTACACAGCAAGCAACAGAAATGGGATTCGAGCCCGGATCAGCCTAACTCCCAAACCCATCCACGTTTCAGGTTAACTCTACTATCAAGTCAATGGTCACTTCTTTTCTCTTGCTTCCCACCAGAAGATCCGTATGTCAGGATGTTGTAATCACTAACGTAACACATTAGGAACATCTATGGAGTCTTCAATCCCGTACAACACAGGGCATCTTATACGTTACTTAACTAAGTGCCAGTAACAAAAGAGCTTGAAAAGCGAGCTCAGAGGTGAGGGACCTGTCCAAGGTCACTCCACTAGAACCAATGACACTGGAGACCCCAATCCACCTGACACAGAGCCCGTACCTTTAATCTACGCTCTAGGTAATCCCATAGCGACGCCTCAACTCAACAACCTTAAAAATCCTTAAACAACGGGATCGATCTCATTGCCTTTTGGTTTTGCAAATAAAACTTTAAAAAATATGTAGATAGCAAAGACTTCTCTTCTGTAATGCTACTTCTAATGAATGTCTTGAGCTTGGTGTACAGAATCACTTAACCCTCTTTATCTCCTTTTACAGTATTCCAGAGTGAGATTTGCTATTCAGAAACGTGACCCTCCATCAATACAAGAAATAATCAGTTATGTTCACAGCACTGTACTGCTTCTGAAAAGAAGGAGGTAAAAATCTACTAGAACTTAGAAGATATTTTCACAAGAGTTGGAATCAAAAGGAGTTCCACATCACTAAATCTCTGTAAGCTATAAAATCCAATTAACAACAATATCACATTTGCCAGCATTGTAGTTAATCCAAATTTTACTGATTGTCGATCAAAACCTTGAAATTATTTAAACATAAGGAATTTTTATATTAATGTCCTTGGCTTCTTACTGAGACTCAATTGCAATGAATTATTTAACACAAAACTGGATGGGTTCCAACAGAGTCATTAGCATTAGTAAATATACACTTAGTGCCTTTTAGAACAGGGCTTAATGCACTCCAGAATCTGCCTCTGTGATAGTTTGGGTCGGGGGCTGAAACATCCTTCTTAATAATGCACAGAGACTCAACACCTTGCTCTCTCACACTCTTCTTGGCTTCAAACTTCATTTGAATGCAAGGACTCTTAATAGGCATCCCTAACTCATAAAACTGCAAATACCCAATACACAAAATAAACAAACCAGGGCTAAATATTGGTTTCATACCATAACTTTATGGTCACCTTGGGAAAGTTTATGTATACCAATACGAAATTTTTTAAGTTAGAAGACAACAAAGAAATATAGACTAAAAACATATTTTGACTTGAGGGAAGTTTGCATATTTCACAATGCACTTATACCACTATTTTTAAATGAATGGATGGAAGGACAAGGACAATACTCATATGCACTCCACGGTTTTGGTTTAAGGCATGAAGCACCTTACGTTTAATTTCCATTAACACCTTCATTAACATGGGTGACATGTTAAGTGAAACAAAGGCTAGAGGGACTCTAAAGGCTTCTTAGGGACTCTGAGGTATTAGTTTTAGTACTTGTACCATTTTCCTGCTGAAAAGAGTTGCCTGCGTAAATGAAAGTTAAGATGTTAGCAAAAGTAGCCGCCGTTTTAAGGTAAAGGGGGGTTTTATGGCCAAACCTAGAAATCGAATCAACCCATTCCATGTGACACTGCTGTCGCCCTGTTATAGTCTGCGACACGGATTTATTCTTAAATGTCCCAAATATTTCTCGGTCGGCTATCTGTCAGTCAATTGGCCGGCTGATTTAAAGACAATAGCCCTGGAGCGCTAGTGTATGGAAGAAGTTTGGGAGACTTCTAAAATGTTCAGACAGGTTCACAGCGCGCATTTCTCTGCAGCAATGGAAAGATTCAGAGAACTCGGGACTCAACAACCAAATCTCGCTTTCGAGGACCCGAAGTACCGAACAAAAGATCCCAAGGTATCTGTCCCACTTCTCGTTAGGCTGGATGTTAAACAATACCATGGCACAAATTCAACATTTCACCAATTCCCAAAGTTAAATTACTGACTAAACACCCAATAACCAAGGCCTGAGAGGGAAAAAAAAAAAAAGTGACCCAGGCGGCCGCGCAGCTGGGAGCGCAGCGGGGCCCGGAGCGTGCCCTCGCCTGTCCCCCGCGGGCGCGAAGGCAGGAGCGCTAGCGGCGAGGAGAGGGAACCCAAATCGTAGGCTTACGATCATGCACAAATGAACCCTCGGATCATGAGGGCAAGAGGTGTCCCTCCTTTTTGTCGTCGCCCTCCCCCAGGTCCCGGGCACTGTACCCCCGACCCTTCGCGCGCAGCGCACCCCACGCCAGCCCCGGGTGGCCCCTGAGCCGCTAGTGCCAGAAGTGCGGGGCCGAGGGCGCCGGGCCGGGTGCCCGGGACAGCACGCCACTTACCAATGCGGCTGAAACTATCCGACAAAGTTCTCCGCAACTTCTTCATCTTGCCGATCTTCTCGGCCGGCTGCGGCTCAATGAGGTCGCACATCTGGGCGACACGGGGCTCGGGCAACTTCCCCAAACTGGTCCAGAGCGCAGCGCAGACAACGGCGAGGGCGCGCGGCGCGGCGAAGGCGGCGCCTCCTCCGCCTCCTGCACCTCCTCCACCTCCTCCTCGGGCCGGGAGGCGAGGCGCAGGGCTGGGGAGGCTAGCGAGGAGCAGCAGGCTCGGCTCGGGCCTGGGCCGCGGCTGGACGGGCGGGGGCGTTCTACGTGGTGCCGGGGGCGGCCGCGATTGCAGCCGCCGCCGTGGTGGCCCCGCGCCGCGCCGCCGCCGCCCAGCTCATTTTCCCTCCTTTGTAACCGAGAGAAGCTCGGCCGGCGGCCGGCGGTGGGGGCGGCGCGGGCGGAGGCGGGGCGGGGGCGGGCCGGGGACGAGATGCGGGCGCCCGGGCTGGGGGGGCGGTCGCCGAGCGCGCGGGGCGCGGGCGGGGAGAAGTTCTCAGCCCCGAGTTTCGGGCGCTCGGGAGAGAAAGCCGCGGCGCGGATCCGCCAGCCGCCCCGCCCTCAACCCCCTCCCGCCGCCGCCGCCGCCGCCGCCGCCTCGGCCCCGCCTTCCCTCTGGCGCAGGCCCCCGGGGCGCGGGACCCCGGCGCGACCTCCGTCCCCGGCCCGGGGCCCACGTTCCCTGCCGCCCTCCCCGGCCCGCTCGTGCCCCCGCGCGCCTCCCCCGGCGGCCAGCCGGGCCCGCGCGCTCCAGGACCCCGGCCGGCGGAGGAACGTGATCGGGCAAGGCTGGGAGCCGGCCGCCGCTGGGAACCCGGTCTCGCCCTGTGGGGAGGCCCCGAAAGGAAGGGGGGTGAGCCTGGATGGTTTATCACAGCGATTTTGTCCCTGCCGCGATCGCCTGTGAAAAGAGCTGGGGGGGGGGGGGGGGGGTGTAGAGGTGGGGTTGGCCGAGATCGCTTCCTCCCGGTCCGAGGAGTGGAAAAGCCTCCGGGATGCACCCAGGTTTGACGGTGACTTTTTGTTTTTTCTTCAGTTTTGACAAGGAAACTGTGAAGCGAAAGAACTAAACAGGAAGGTGAGCCCGTTTTTTAGGAGAGTCAAGTGCAAAAGCAGAAGCTTCAAGTGTTAAACTCCCCAGGCGGGGCAGGGCTGGTGGTCTGAGTGACAGACGGTAATGTAGACGCGGCTGATTTCTGATATGAATACCCAGTTCTATAGTAAGTAGCAAGCAGAAGGCCTTAGTCTATCTACCATTTTTAGAATATGGTTCTAAATTGAAAGGCTTAGAGGCAAAAAAAAAACATTCAGACCTCCACTTCCCCAATCTCAAAAAAAAAAAAAAAAGAATTTTAAAAGGAGGGTTCGGGCTTTATAAAATCCCAGAACCTACAGTTTAGGCAGCAGACACACATCGTCTTCATTCTGCAGCGAGCCTCCAAAACTCTGTTTCCCAAGGGAGAGAAAAGGAAGATGAGGGAAAGGCCTGACTCTGTTGATTTCAGGCCAACAAACTCCTTATGAATAGAAATGTAGTAATCTTGAGTCATCTGGCTATGAAAGTAATGAGAGTTTCTGAGCATGTGACAATGCTGTTTGGTTTAAAGGAAGTTTTAGGGAGTTTATGTTTTATTAATAGACTTTTATCTGAAAACAAAAACTAGCCCCCTGCCTTCCCTAAATTGTGAGGTGGAACACTTCGATTCGTTCTGCTCTGCACTGAGCACATTATAGGGTCTTGATAAATGGCGACTGATAAAAGACAGGAAGTCAACCCTAGTGGGGAGCAGAGGAGGGTGGGGAATTCCTTAAGAAACTTAAAGGGATGAGTTGAAATGGATGTTGGGTTCTGGTGATTCTGCCTAGATGTTATTGACAGCACCAAGTGTGGCTTCAGACAGGAGAAGGTTTGACTTTTACCTCTACATCAGGTTAGTTGGGGAGAAAGGTATCAGCAGCTTTGAATGGAAAGTCTAAAGCCACCAATCAAAATACTGATGGATTCTACCTATCAGTCAACAGCGATGAAGCAGTCATTAACTGAATGGACTTTGACTAGGTGCCTCTGTGGCTAGCCTATTAATCCTATTCATTCTGACAACGTTTCGTGTGTGTGAATATGTTTATATATATACATGTGTATACATATATATATTCATATTCTCTGTTTTACCTTCCCAGTATTTAGTATCATTGACTTTTTAAAAGATCAACTTCTGTTTGAATAAATTATGGTATATGCAGTCTATGGTATAGTAGGTAAATGTTTTAAAAAATGAAATAGATCAATATGTGGGGATATATAAATATGTCTTGGGTTAGTGAAAAAAACTATATTTACCATTAACCCATTTTCATAGTTATAAGAAAAAATAGACATATATATGTTTCTGTATGCTTAGAAAATTTCTGAAGAGGAACAAAAAGCTGAGTGTGTATACTCAGGATAGAGAGAATGTTTTCTTTGTACCCTTAAATATAATTTAAATGCTTTACCCCTCAAAATGCATTAATTTTATAATAATAGAAATAATACTTTAAACATAAACATAATATTTACTACATTTTTACCTATCCCTCTCCAAAAAACTTCCACCTAACTGCAATGGTATACCTTGCAGGAGAAACAGTTGTTAGTAGTGGAGCATGTAAACTTGGCAAGTATGAAAAATCAACTTCCCAAGATATCTGCTTCCTTCATTGGTTAAAAAATTAAAATGGCTAATTTCCAAGAAACTGTGATATTAAAAAGGAAATTTTAACTGGATACTTTTGAGCTATGTACACTTAAGTTATGGGATTCAACTTTTTTTTGACCGTGCTGCCCAGCTTTCAGAATCTTAGTTCCCGGACTAGGACTAGAGCCTGTGCCCTCTGCATCGAAAACCCAGAGCCCTAACCCCTGGACCACCAGGGCATTCCCAGGCTCGACTCTTGGTATGGTTATTTGTTTCACATTTGCCTTCATTTTAGAGTGTAAGTTCCCCAAGGGCTGGGGCCTTGGATGTTGTTGTTTAGTCACTAAGTGATACCCAATTTTTTTGTGACCCCATAGACTGTAGGGCCCTAGATACAAAAGGTATAATACCTGTTTCATAGTGGATGTGAATTAAATATTTGTCATGGCTCAGACAGTAGGAAATCTGCCTGCAGTGCTGGAGACCAAAGTTCAATCCCTGGGTCAGGAGGATCCCCTGGAGGAGGAAATGGCTACCCACTCCAGTATTCTTGCCTAGGAAATCTCATGGACAGAGGAACCTGGGGGTCTACAGTCCATGGGGTCACAAAGAGTCAGACACAACTGAGCGACTAATACTTTCACTTTTCACTTTCAGATGAATTCAGAATGTATTGCTGCCACTGAGAAGTTACATGTTGTCCTCAGAGACAAAGATGACTCTCCAGCATCTGTATGGCATATGCATTTTCAGTGGGAGAATGGATCTGTTCCAGTTCTCTGTTTGAACTTCTGGTAAGAAGGTTATAGTTTTGACTGGCCTGAATTAAAGGTGTAGCGTCTGCCTATAAATGGATAAGCCTACTGAGGGGCTGAACCCAGCATGGGTGGAAGTGAATCAAATTCATCAGTTAAAGCATGTTTGTGTATTAATTTGCTCAGTCATGTCTGACTCTTTGTGACCCTGTGGACTATAGCCCACCAGGCTTCTCTGTCCATGGGATTCTCCAGGCAAGAATACTGGAATGGGTTGCCATTTCCTCCTCCAGGGGATCTTCCTGACCCAGCGATCAAAGTGTATTAGTTAGGCCTAGAGTAATACCAGCAGGTGGTTGGAGACCCAGGACTCAAGGGTTCTCATCCCTATTGTATCCCCAGCTGTTGTGTGGCCTTAGACAAGTGACTTACCCACTTCATTATCTATGAAATGATGATTTTCAACTAGCTGACCTCTAGGGTCATCCATAGCTGCAAAATTCTGATTCTAAGTTGAATGGTGACACTTCTCCTCTCAGCTCATACACTGGGATACATTAATGAAGAGTAATTAATACACAAGTAAGACAGACAAAGATCCACTAATAAAAATGTTGTGAAATTTAACTTAAGATACTCTAGTCATGTTATACATAAATTATGCTCTTATGAATGGATCTTGTTCATATAAGAAAAATAGTAGGCTCATATGCTGGCATTAATTTTAAGGAAATGAATCTTAATCCAAACAAGATGAAATATAGAGGATTTGATTAGAATCTTAAGTTCCAGCAAAAGCAGTTTTACTGATCTGAAACAGTATCAGAAGATATTATCAGAGAAAAGAAATCCATGAAACAAGCATGTGGGGACTAGAGTTGGAAAGTGAAGTTAAAGTGAAAATATATGTTTATTAATGTAAATATTTAGAATTTAACTATGGTAGATAGCTAATGATTACGGCACATAGTTGAGTGCAGTTATTAAAGTGGTGGAAACTTGCCTAATTAAATATCCTCTTAGAACTCTAAACAGTTACCCTAGTTAATTATTTTTAGGATCAAATATTATCCTTTTTTTTTTTTTTAACACATCCAGGAACTGAAGTAGCACAAGTTTAGGTGACCTATACCAAGTTCCCAGTGAGTCTCAGTGAAACTGGTACATGGACGTCAAAACACTGACTTTTATGTTCCAGCTGTTGGGTAATGCCTAGTCTTAAGGGTTCCTTTTTGTTATTGTTGTTGTTGTTTTGACAAAGAGAAAATTAAAATTTAAAACAGGGAGAACGTCCCTGGCCGTCTAGTGGTTAAGACTGCATTTCCCCTGCAGGGGGCGCAGGTTTGATCCCTGGTTGGGGAACTAGGATCCCAGATGCCTGCTGTGTGGCACAGTCAAAAACAGATAAATGAATAATTAATTCTTAAGACGATTTTTTTAAATTAAAATCAAAAAAAGGGAGGGAAATGGAAGGTCCCAGAAACCAATGTTTCTCACACGCAGGTAAATGGAGGCTCTCCTGCCTCCTTTTCTTGTTCTATCACCCATCCGTTACCTAGTCACTCATAATCCAAATCCTTTTCACTTTCACAGAAATCACTCAGGCTGACACAAACCTCTCAGTTTGTTCGGGAATAAAAGCTATTTTTGTCTGATTATTTTGCAGGTAATTCTATATTTTTTTCATCATATGTTTCAGGAGACCAAGGGATATAAGTCAGCTGATCTACTTTCAAATGACTGCAGAAAGAACAAAGAAGCTGCACACCCATTCAAACAGTGTTAGGGGTAAATTAGCTCAGAATAGTTTTGAAGAAAATAAACTATCAAGGTCAAAGTGTGCATTGAAATAGTGATAAATTCCCCTCTCCTGTTAAATCATTAAAGATCTGGTAAACGACCCAGGGATCAAACCGGGGGTCTCCTGCACTGCAGGCAGATTCTTTACCATCTGAGCTACCAGGGAAGCCCAAACCTGCTGGGGTCCTCTATCCATGGAATTCTCCAAGCAAGAATTCTGGTGGGTAGCCATTCCCTTCCCCAAGGGATCTTCCCAACCCAGGGATCAAAGCCAGGTCTCCTGCATTGCAAGCAGATTCTCTACCAGCTGAACCACGAGGGAAGCCCCCTATTAAACCATACTTAAAAATAAGAATGGTCTCTCACTCTTGTTTTTCACTGTTGTATTATTTGTACAATAGAATTTTGCATGAGAAAATATATACTACTATCATTTCGAACTAACTCACGACTCACTCAGTTATCCCTTTGGTGTTGCTTGTGTGTGTGGTACAGATGTGTCATTACTAGAGGGTCCTTGTTTATGGTTGTCATCAATTTCAGTGCATCCTGTTGCACCCATCAGAATGAAACTTCAGAGGCCAGTACTGTAATTGAGCTCTGGACATGGATGCAAAAGCAGTCAGAAGTTAATACTTCCAGGGAACCCAAACCCTGTGCCTTTTGGTCAGTCC